GGAGTAAAACTCAGCTGTTGTCAACTCAGTTGTAAATTTAGATTGTAAACGATTGAATACGTATCGAAATATGTAACGATTCGTGCTTCATAATCATTTTAACCAGTCTCTTCCCATAGCATTTTAGCACTGCAGATACATTAATCCATTCCCACACTCAACCCTGCCCATCTTTACTACTTCATTCACCACCCCTACGTCGTGGACCTGTTTCCCTCTCTTCCAGTCTCTTCCCATAGCATTTTAGGATTGCAGATACATTGTAATTGCCAAAGACAGTTTCCACACTCTGCACTGCAAGCCTTTACTACTTCCTTCACCATTTCCTACGTCATAGACCTGTTTCCTTCCCTTCCCATAGCATTTAAGTATTAGATACATTTATCTAACTGCCCAAACGGTTCCATCACTCTGCACTGCCAGCCGTTACTACTTCCTTCACCACTTCCTACGTCGTGGGGCCTGTTTCCTTCCCTTCTCATAGCATTTTAGGATTGAAGATACATTAATCTAACTGCCACAGACGGTTCTCACAATATGTCCATACTTCATCACTTCCTAATCCACTTCCTACATTGTGGACCTGTTTTCACTACTTTCCATAGCATTTTAGTATTTAGATACGTTAATCTAATTGTCACAAACATTGCCCACGATCCGCACTGCTAGCCTTTACTACTCTTTTCACCATTTTCTATGTCGTGGGCATGCTTCCATCCCTTCTCATAGCATTTCAGCATTGCAGATACATTAATCTAACTGCTACAAACTGTTTCCAGTTCCCAAACTCCACACTTCTCACCTTACTACTTCCTTCACCTCTTCCTACGTCACAGACCTGTTTCCCTCCTTCCCATAGAATTTTAAGATTGTAGATAACAAGATACCTTAATCTAATCGTCATAAACAGTTCCCACACTCCGGACAACTCGCCTTTACTACTTCCTTCACCACTTCCTACGTCACGGACCTGTTTACCTCCCTTCCCATAGCATTTTAGGATTGCAAATACCTTAATCTAATGGTCATAAACAGATCCCATACCCCGAACATCTCGCCTTTACTACTTCCTTCACCACTTCGTACATCGCGCGGACCTGTTTTCCTCCCTTTCCATAGCATTTTAGGATTGTAGATACCTTAATCTAATAGTCATAAACAGTTTCCACACTCCGGACAGCTTGCCTTGACTATTTCCTTCACCACTTCCTACGTCGCGGACCTGTTTTCCTCCCTTCCCATAGCATTTTAGGATTGCAAATACCTTAATCTAACGGTCATAACAGATCCCATACCCCAAACATCTCGCCTTTACTACTTCCTTCACCACATCCTACGTCGTAGACCTGTTTCCTCCCCTTCCAATAACATTTTAGGATTGCAGATACCTTAATCTAATTGTCATAAACAGTTCCCACACTACGGACAGCTCGCCTTGACTACTTCCTTCACCACTTCCTACGTCATACACCGTTTCCCTCCCTTCCCATAGAATTTTAGGAATGCAGATACCTACCTAAATCTAATCGTCTTAAACAGTTTCCACACTCCAGACTGCTCACCTTTACTACTTCCTTCACCACTTTCTACGTCACGGACCTCAAACTAGTGGAGTCGTTTGATTATATTTATGATCCATACCACCGTTTTATGTTCTAATGACTGTGGAATAATGCTATCAGCTATTTATTTATCTACTGCATTCAAAAGTCAACAGCTGATCATATGTCGTTTATGTGTGAAATACTGCTTCCATAAGGATTACATTGAAACTTTGAGACCCGGTGGGGCGGATTCCTGAGAGACTTTTTTTAACGCTATATGGATGTTGGCACTCACTGGTATGGTCTTTATCACCATGCAAAATTTGAAAACGATTGATTCAGCCGTCTAGGAGGAGTTTGCGTATTACGAAATGCATAATAGTCGACGTATAAGAGCTTCGCTCGCTTCGCTCGCTCCGCTCAAAAACTGTGCGGAGTGGAGTGGGGAGTGAAACAAACGAGACCTTCTCTGAAGGAAGGACCCCCCGCTACCGCCACGGCCACCGTTAATCTCCACGACCACTGAGCTAATCAGCTAAAAGCTAGCTCAGTGTGGGAACGCGCCAAGGAGCCACCACGTCAACCCGCCATCAAAAAGAAGAAGAAGTTTGAGGTGGCTCGTTGTCGGGGTGGCACGTTGACTCTAGCGTGCACGACAACCCGCCACCTCGGAAAAATGTGTGGTGGCGGGTTGTCGTGGTGGCACGTTGTCCTAGTGGCACAATTTTTATTTCAGCTGCAGTTATTTTAATAAGAACAAAATGAGAGCATTCTATTGGCTGAGGGAACGCCATTAGCGCAATGAAACGAAATGAGGCCATCGGCCACGGTGGTCTAGTGGATTGCGTGCCGGGCTTCGAAACTTATGGTACCAGGTTCGAAACCCATCGGGGGCATAAACTTTTTGTCCAAGATTTTTGCATTATCAGCAAGTTTGGTTAGTTTTGTTAGGTTATAACAGTTAAATTTTATAATTAAAACCTTATAAAATTGAATTTGAGCTATTTATAGTTTTATTTTATGAACAGAACTTTTTTTTCGATTAGTAAACCTTCATTCAATTTTTTTCATTATCAGCAAGTTTGGTTAGTTTGGTTAGGTTATCACAGTTTAATTTTATAATTAAAAAATATAAAATTTAATTTGAGGCATTTATAGTTTTATTTTATGAACAGAATTATTTTTTCTATTAGTAAACCTTCATTCAATTTTGTCATTATCAGCAAGTTTGGTTAGTTAGGTTAGGTTATGAAAGTTTAATTAAAAAATTAACTATATATTTTTTTAGTTTTAGGCCTACAATAATTTTTTTTAATTTCTAATTTTTAAACTCTCATTTTGTCCGTATTAAAAAACTGCAGCTGAAATAAAAATCGTGCGTCCTGGTGGTGCTTAGACATGTTCATACACGTCAACCAGCCACCTCTTTAGTGTGGTGGCGGGTTGACGTGGTGGCTGGTTGACGTCTACGTGCGAGGTGGCGGGTTGACGACACCGAACATTGAGCGTACACGACAACCCGCCACCTCATAAAATAGTGATGGCGGGTTGACGTGTTGGCACGTTGTCGCTTACATGCGAGGTGGCGGGTTGGCGAGAGTTAACATGGGGCGTACACGACAACCCACCATCTTTGTTGGCAAAAGCCGCTGTTGTCTGTGTATTATAAAATGCATCACTTTTTGCAGTTTACCTGGACTTGTGTTATCTAGTTTACTGTTAAGTTAACTAGACATTGTTATTGTGAATTCATTAATTTTCGAATCGTTTTCCTAAAAAGATCTGCCATAGAAATAAAGTACACGCGCATCCACGCAAGACAATTTTTCCTTTTAATCAACGGTTATTGTTTAAAAAAATTGTGTAAGATAAACTCACTACAAATTAACGACTTAGGGTCATTCTAGAATTAAAATAACAATATTTGTTATGTTTTCGCATATTTTTATTGAAGACAAAAACATGAAACTTTAATAATTTTGAAAAATAAGTTATTAGTGATTTTTTGTAGGTGTATACCTGGTATAATACCCATACTTATTTTCTTTTTCAGCATTATGACAATGAATTACGAAATAAGTTACCTAACAACTTCATCAATTAATTGTAATTCACGTGTGTATGGCCTAAACAAAAATTATGAAAATGTATTGTTCGGTTATAATTTATCTTAAAACCGTATTGTGGTGAAAATAATAATACATTCAACCAAGAACATAAAACAAAATATACATCGTTGATACAGAGTACAACAGACTAAAATGTACTTTGTGTGGACTAGCGCACACCTGTTTTTCTATTTAGAAGAATTTGAGAAAGGATACAGAACTAGACTCAACCCAACCGGTAACGTACTTTGACCTCTTGAGTCAAGGGTATTGCCCAGAGAAGTTCATACCAGACAGATATATTCCAAAAATCTCATTAGGAGATATCTTAAACCAAGATTTCTATTGAATTTATCATGCTCTGCTTGAAATTCCATTTCATGATACAGGAAATACCGTACCGTTACTTTGGTATTATTCGGAGGCCACTTGTTTTCTAGAGGGATTTTTTTACCTATGACAAAAAAAAACACATAATTAGAAAGAACATACTTTAATTAACTTACTGTCCAATTATGAAATGATTGCAATATTGCAATTAGTGGTTTTTGAGTTCTGCCTCCCAGAAGGCAAGATTGAGTTGAATGCGTCACCGCCCCTAGCTGCCACACGAACTCCGCCGAGTAGATACTGAGTAAATACTGCGCGCTGTAGCGGTTATGTTAGGTTGGGTTTTAAAATGACTCTTATTAATTACAAAATAACTAATAAATGCACGCATATTAACTCAACATAAAATCTAATTCATGAATGTTTACAAAACAAAAACAATAGAAAAACATACGATAGTAAAAATTGATATTAATGGAATATTGTACAGTCTTAAAGAAGTTACAACAATCTCCCCCACTATTTTGAACTGGCAATGGAATTATGAGTGAATAAAGTCCTTGTATCGGCACGGCATTTGCCTTTGTCGCCTAGATCTATCTTGACTAACAGAAACTTCGGTATTGTTTGTTTCTGTTTCCTGAACTACTGGAACCTCTGCATTGTTTGCTTTGGGAGTTGGAGGTCTTTCGGAAATTGACGGTCCTTCGGAAGTTGATGGTCTTACGGGGGTTGATGGTCTTTCAGGAGTTGATGGTCTTAAGGGAGTTGATGGTCTTTCATGAATTGACAGTCTTTTAGGATTAGAACGAGTAACAGCCTTAGGATTTTCTTTTGTGCTGTGTTTAGAAGCCCGTGGAACATCAAATATGTGGATTGGTCCCGCAGTAACAATTTTTGGTTTTGGTATCAAAGTAGACCGCAATTGATCAATGTGTCGTTTTACAAGTCGGCCTGACTTGTCAAGGGAAACTAGATAGTGTCGAGTTCCCAACTTTTTATTTACTTCTCCAAACTGCTAAACGTTCTTGTTGTTCATGAAGAGACGAATCTGAACTCTCTCCCCCTCGTTGAATGAACGTGCAGAAGGAGCATTTCTAGTTGAAGCTTTTTGTACGTTGGGAAAATTGGCATCCATTCGTATTCTTAACTTCCTGTGGAGGTAAAGTTCAGCCGGTGATTTGCCACTTGCTAGAGGAGTTGCCCGGTACCCCAGTAAGATCTTATGGACCTTTATTGCCATTGGTATGTTTTCCGAAGCTGTGGACTTCAGGCGATTCTTCAATGTTTGAACAGAGCGTTCTGCTAAGCCGTTTGTGGCTAGATGTCCTGGAGATATGAATTTCTGGAAAATGCCATGCAATTTGCAATAAGCTTGGAATGTATCACTTTGAAAAATTGAGGCGTTGTCAGATACCATAACATTCGGGTAGCCGTGTGTAGCAAAAATCTGTTCAAGCAGATGTATGGTATTGGAGCTGGATGGTGCATCCTTGATTACTTTTATCTCCGCCCATTTTGATCTAGCATCAATACACACGAGGAAGTTGAAGCCTTGAAACGGTCCTGCGTAGTCAATGTTTATTCTTTCCCAGTTCTCTTTTGGGATTTCCCATGGGTGATTGGGAGCTTTGGGTGGATTTGACCGTGTTAGTGCACAATTTTCACATCCTTTCATAAGATGCTCAATGTCCTTGTCAATATTTGGCCAGTAAACATAGCGCCGTGCTAGCCGTTTCATTTTTGTGATTCCAAGATGACTTTCGTGAAGTTCATTTAGAATCTTGTTTCTAAGTAGTGATGGAATGTAAACTCTTTCTCCCCGGAAAATAATGTTTTCGACCAACGTAAAATCAGTATCAGTTGAATTTGTGAGTAGGTCTTTCAAAATCTTAGAGAAAACTGGATCTTTGGCTGTCTCGTTCTTAATGATTTCAGCTGTGATTTCATGGCTTGAAATTTGAAAAATAACTTGGCTGCAGATTTGGTGTACCTCTTTTCCGATTTTCTTGTCTTTAGTAGAGTGAGTCTGTGTAAGAGGAGCTCTCGAAAGACAATCCACGTTTTTATTTTCCATGCCCTTTTTGAACACCAACTTGTAATTGAAACCTGACTGATATGATGCAAATCTGAGTAAACGAGCTGAAGTCATTTGTGGTAGAGCCTTGTCATGCCTGAAGATCCTAGATATGGACTGATTATCTGTTACAAGTTGAAATTGAGTCCCAAATAAGTAATAATAGAAGTGGGAGACACCAAAAACTATGGCCAATGCTTCCCGGTCCAGTTGACTATAGTTACATTCGGCATCAGTGAGTGAACGTGAGGCGTAAGCAATTGGTCTTTCAGTACCATCTATTAAGTAGCTAAGAACTGCAGCTAGTCCAGTAGGTGAAGCGTCTATGGTGGAGGACTAAAGGTAGTTTTGGATCGAAAGGTACGAGTATCCTGTTACTGCAGAGCTCAGTTTTGATTCGTTGAAAAGCCTTTTCACATTCTGGTGTCCATTCCCATTTCTTATTTTTGCGTAACAAACGTCGCAAAGGAAAAGTAACAGTTGAAGCATCTGGAAAGAAACGAGAGTAGTAAGAAACAATTCCTAAGAATCGTCGTAATTCTTCAACTTTTGATGGACGTGACATTTCTTTAACAGCTTGAACTTTGGTAGGAGATTTCTTTATTTTGTTTAACTCCACCACTCGTCCTAGATATTCTATTTGTTCTTGAAAAAATGAACACTTCTGTTTGTTTATGTGTAAGTCAAAATCTGAGAGTCGTTGAAGACAGGCCTGTAGATTTCTTTTGCACTCATCCATTGTTGAGCAATGGCAAATTATGTCATCAAAGTAGGCCTCGGTTTTAGGCAATCCCTTCAAAATTTATGCAAGAATTCGGTTGAATTCAGAAGGTGCTGTCTTTATTCCGAAACTTAGACGATTGACACGATATGTTCCACGGTGTGTTGACATTGTCTGGATAATACTGGACTCTTCGTCGACCTTGAGGTGCAGATAAGCTTTGTACAGATCAAGTTTGCAAAAGTAACGAGATCCTCTCAAACTGTCGAGTACATCGTCAATTTTTCGAATAGGATGGTTTGCCTGGACTATTCGTTCATTCACACATTTGTAGTCGACACAGAGACGAACACTTCCATCTGCCGTAGGTATCACGATTAGTGGTGACCCCCAATCACTTGACGTAACAGGCGAAATGATTCCTTCATTTTCAAGTAAATCTAGTTCCTTGTTGACCTGATCAATAAGAGCATGAGGTACGTTCCGTTCACGATTGAAAATAGGCTTTGCTCCTGATCGAAGATGTAATGATACTGTAAAGTTTGGAAAGCATCCAATTTTTGGCTCGAAAATTGGCGCAAATTTTTCAAACAGTTCCTCAATTGAATTTACAGGTTGTAATTGAAGGGTAGTAGCTGGTCGGTTCATTTCAGCGTCAATTTCACACAGTTCAATACCCAGTCCTCGGATCCATTGGCGCCCTAGAAGTGCATCATGACCTGAAGGGACGATGTGAAGGTCACCTTTGAACTGTTTACCCTTGTATGATACAGAAACTGATACCTTTCCCTCTGGTTTGATTATGTATCCAGAGTAAGAACGGAAGGCTAGCCTTGATGGTTCTACAGGTACGTTCAGATGTAGACGTTCAAAGTCATTCTTCGCAAGGAGAGAAAATTTAGCCCCACTGTCAACTTCAAAACATTGTAATCTTCCATTTATAGTGACAGAAACAATGTACTTGTCTGAATCACATTCAACTTCAAATAAATCTACGACATCAAAGTTCTGGTAGATCGAATCAATTTTGTGCACTCCGTAATCAGAGGAGTCGTCACTAGAATAATCATCATCATTTGATCCTGAATTTAGGTTGTTGGTTGAATTTAACTTTGATGTTGATTTCTTAGTTCTTGACAATAGTTATGCAGACCGCAGAGACATGTCCTCGTTTTAAACACTCCCCACATTGGAGTTTATACTTGTGTCTGTTACAATTTGCAGCAATGTGTTTGTTATACTTCCACGTCTAAGACAGAGGCCTTCTATTCCGAGGGCATTGAAGTCAGGTCTTTTGTTATTTGAACGTTGTTTCCAGTTGAGAGATGTCTTGTTGGATGAGCGATTGTTAGAGAACTGGTGGGATCGTCTGGAAGACCTTGTAATTTTTTCTGCACTCCAGCCGAATCCATATTAAAGTTGTTAGAACATGCATGTTGGTGAAATTCTTTGCTTTCAACCTTTGATGCTTCAAGAGCAATAGCTTTCTCTAGAATGTCATCAAACTTTGTGTAAACGGATTGTAAAAGGTGTTCCCTAGGCCAATTGTCCTTCAATCCTCGTATGAACTGTGCCCGCAAGAAAACATCAGCAATTGACACAGATGTTCCACATTCATCGTTGGAGCATTCAACTGCAAATTCACATTCTTGAAGATCACGTCTGAGGTCAGCCACAAACTCCGAAATTGACTGGTTTTCTTTTTGAAAGATATGAAATAATGTTGAGCAACAACAACACTTTTCTTTGGAGTCAACAGTTTCTTGAAGTCATTCAACAGAGTTTCATAATCTAATGATTTGAGTGGCTTGTCTGGGCCCAAAAATGCAGATAGGTTGTTATAATGTTCACTACCTATAGAATTACACAAGAGCTGAGCAATTTTCTTCTTATCAGTCAAACCTTTCATTGTATAATAGTTTTCGAAACGTTCTAAATAGCTGGTAAACTTTTCTTGTTTGGCTTTGAAGTTTTCGAATGTAGCAATATTTGACATTGTAGATTGACAGTTTTCTTCTCTGGGTTTTCCAATTGATGTAACAATTGTTTGAATTTGAGCTTGAAACATGTTTGACATCTCACGTACAAGTGTTTTTTGTTGTTCATTGAATGTGTTTAGAAGTAAGGTAAACTGTTGTGTATCCATTATAGTTTGAACTGTAAAAATATTAATGTATCTTGAAACTAGAAATTGAATGTAATTTTGAAAAGTAAATGTGTTGAATTTTACAGTGGCTAGTTGATTTTCACACTCGTCGCCAATTAAAATGACTCTTATTAATTACAAAATAATTAATAAATTCACGCATATTAACTCAACACAAAATCTAATTCATGAATGTTTACAAAACAAAAACAATAGAAAAACATATGATAGTAAAAATTGATATTAATGGAATATTGTACAGTCTTAAGGGTGTTTGGTCGCAAATTTTCATGTCTGATTTTTTGTTATTGTTTAATTGTACTAAAAATTAGAGACACAAATATATAAGAAAAAAATTTTTATTTTGAATATTAAGCGAGATATGGAGCTTGAAAGTAGTTAATTTTTAATCTTTGGTACCAGTTCACAGGGAGAATAGGTAATGCGATACTCACCAAAATTTGCATTCAGGTGTGGAAAAATAAGATAATAATCAGTAGCTAATAAATCAATCGATAAATAATTTCGATCGATACGATTGCAACAATCGAAATTTACAACTGTTTACAACAGCTGAAAATCAGTTTCTACTTGGTGACTGCGTAGTGCATGTGTTGCGTGTGCTGCGTCTCAGCATAGACTAACCAACACAAGGGAGTGTGTTTTATATGGTTTTATCTATAATCTCAGCATGCGCTAGTCAAAAATTCGTGAGCTGCGTGGCTTGCGCCGAAAAACTTGGCTTGCGTGCGATGTGTCACGTGCGTCTCAGCATAATCTCGCATACGGGTCTTACGGACCCGTATCCTCTGTGTTAAGCCCCCCACACACTACCAGACCAGACCTCCAGACCAGACCGTCTGGCTGCAACCAGACCGTCTTGGACGGCTCTACACACTCCCAGACCAGACGGTCTAACGTTCGTAATTGAGAGACCGTAGTGAGAACTCCAACAAATGGATGAAGACTGTCACGATGGTCGGCCGTCTGACGGACAGCGCTACACACTCAAAGACCAGACAAAAATAGTGGTGGGGGAACCTCAGACCGTCTGTGGTCTGAGGGTTCAACCATCAGACACGCAGACAGTCTGGTCCGAGAAAATCGGTCTGCAGACAGTCCCACACACGATAAGACAAGTGCCAGACGCCAGACCAGACGGTCTGTTCTGGAGGTCTGGTCTGGTAGTGTGTGGGGGTCTTAAGTGTTATACTGGTTATACTAATACTATAATTAACCTACAAACGATATGTTTTGTTTTGACATAGACAGCGATAAGAGATAACAATTAGTCGCGAACAGTTCGGCTATGATCGGTATGATTCGGAAGCGTTTGACAATGTGACAATGACATGGTGGGTGCTGTGTTGGGGGTGTTCCTGTCGGGAAGGTCTCGTGTTTAGTTAAGTATGGTTAAGTTGACGTTGTCTTTTGTCAGTTGTCACTTGTTACTTTACTTCATTACTTCTTACTTGTCAGGCAGCGGGCAGATAAGCATCTAGACTGCCAGTGCAAGTCCGAGGAACGGACTCAGATCAGGATCGTGGATCAGATCAGTGGATCACCCCCCACCACCGCTCAGTGCCGATGGCGTGACGTCAACCATTACTGCAACGATACGGAACTGAGTCATGAGCCTTTGTGGTGAAGTGGATAGCGTGTCGGGCTGATAATCTGAAGGTGCCGGGTTCGAATCCCACCGGGAGCACTAACTTTTTGTCAACAATTTTTTTCATATCAGCAAGTTTGGTTGGTTTGGTTAGGTTATGACAGTTTAATTTTATAATTAAAAGATTGTAAAATTGAATTTGAGACATTTATAATTTAATTTTTAGAACAGAGCTATTTTTCGATTAGTAAACCTTCATTCGAGTTTATCATTATCAGCAAGTTTGGTTAGTTTGGTTAGGTTATGATAGTTTAATTATATTTAATTCAAATTTAATCTACAAATTATACGTTTTGACAGCGACAGTGATACAGGTAACAATTTTCCACGAACAGTTAGATAAGCTATGCTGATGCGCCGGTATGATTCGGAAGCGTACGACATGGTGCGGTGGTGGGGGGTGATCCACTGATCTGATCCCGTTCCTCGGACTTGCACTGGCAGTCTAGACGCTAGTAGCGGGCAGGGCGCTGAATTTTTATTTCAGGATTAGTGTTGCCTACAGTAATATTTTGAGGCTTCTGATTGGCTGAGGGAACATCATTACCGCGACGATACGGTTGATGCCATCGGCCTCGGTGGTGTAGTGGATAGTGTGCTGGGCTGATGATCCGAAGGACCCGGGTTCGAATCCCACCTGTAGCACTATTTTTTTGTATTGGATTTTTTTCATTATCAACAAGTTTGGTTGGTTTGGTTAGGTTATGACGGTTTAATTTTATAATTAAAACATCATGAAATTGAATTTGACCCATTTATAGTTTTATTTTATGAACAGATTTTTTTCGGTTAAACCTTCATTTGATTTTTTATTATAAGCAAGTCTGGTTAGTTTGGTTAGGTTATGATAGTTTAATTTTAGAATAAAAAAATTATAAAATAGGATTTCAGGCATTTATAATTTTATTTTATGAACAGAACTATTTTTTCGATTAATAAACCTTCATTCGATTTTTTCATTGTCATCACGTTTGGTTGGTTAGGTTAGGTTATGACAGTTTAATTTCACAATAAAAAAAAAAAAGATTGAATTTGAGGCATTTATAATTTTATTCTATGAACAAAAAAATGTTTCAAATACTAAACCTTCGTTATAGTCAATCAGAAGCCTCTAAATGACACTGTTGGCAAAATTAATCCTGAAAAACAAATTGTGCGGGCAGGGCTCAGCAGAAGACATAACAGTGTAGAGCAAGGCGTGTTGTAGAGGTCTTATTGTTTTTTATTTTGACATATTTGTAATATCCCAAATTCATTCGTGTTTGTTGTCTTTGTTCAATACACTTTACTTGAACTTACCAGTTAGCTTTTTATTTTGATGATTTTGATAATGTGCACGATTTTAATCTTGTAAAATAGGTAGGCCTAAGCTATCCTTACTGTTTACTTTATTGTTGCCATAATCGTGATGAGTATGGAATATCTTCGCTTAGCCTAACCCAAGATTATTAATTATCACATGTGATTAATGGTGGTGCTGTTTCAGCTGTGAGCCATAATAATTAGAATTAGTATGTCAGTTCCTTTTACTCCTGGGTCAGCTTCTCAACCCACGACTGAAGTAGAACTCACCTTATCTTGCAGGTTGGTCTAGTCAATTCTAAGTTGTTGTAAGAAAACCATAGCCTATGCCTACCTCATTCTTTCGTATGAAAAGGCATCGGTACTGGGTACACTTCCATAAATCTGTTTGCACAAACAACCGAATGAGTAATATTGAATAGGCTATTCGATATATCGTTTGGTTAGTTAGGTTAGGTTAACCTTACCTAACTAACCAAACGATATATCGAATAATCGATATTACTCATTCGGTTGTTTGTGGCAACAGATATGGAAGTGTAACTTACCCTCGGTACCTACCGGTACTGCTTAAAATAGGTCATGCACTTGCGTAAGCTTGTGTGTTCAAGGGGTCAATCCATTTAACCCTCCGAGTGTCACGTGTTTTGGCCTTAATGTCAGCCTATTTTTTGCTCATTTGCAAGGTTTTAATAAAACGGATCTGAGAAGCTTAAAAACAATGTTAATTATACTGTTCTATATACCATTTTGTTTGGAAAATCATGGGCTTCAATATTATATATAAAACATAAAGAACATAAAAAAAAAAAATTTTAGGTAAAAAAATATATAATTTGGAAAATTTTCAAAAAAAAAAGAAGTTCACGCTCAATGAAATTATATAAATTATAGGCCTACAAATATTTGAAAATAGCCACTTTGTTCTAAATTTTATGAGGATTACAAATATATAATCATATAGTGAGGTAAGTTATCAAATAAATAAGTTATGAGTGAAAAACAGATTTCAGTACATTGCGTTTAGCTAAGAATGCATAGCCTAACCATAGCTAGGAATCTGGCTGATAATTTACATCAATATCACTACCTACCTCCTAGGATCATCAACCAGCCTTTCAAAATCTTCTTATAATGCACCACGTATATCACTACTTTTGATTTTTAACACTAAAATAATGATAAACGTAATAAAACACATCAGTCATCGGTCCGAGGATAACCAAGCTGCTTACAAATACGCACGTCAGCTGTCTGCTACAATTACGATCGGCTCAGAGAACATACAGCGCTGAGACAGACCTCTGGAGAAAGCTTAAATTTTAAGGAAAAGAACGATACCTAACTCGATCCAGTTCAATCCGATTCAGTCAGTCATAGAGCCTTTGCCGTAAACAGTGTTCGTGAGTCGCTGCAGCGACGCATGACACTCGGAGGGTTAAAGTCATACAGGCATAGTTGCTCAACATTTTTAATTTTTATGAAACTTTCATAAAATGTTAACTGTATCAATAGAATTGACATGCAAGTAAGTGTTAAACAATGTTTACTCTCAAATTTTTTTTTGGTGGCCATAGGCCTATTTGCTTGAGCAAAACGCGCGTTTTTTTACAAAAATGTACATTTACCTACTAAATATTTAATAGCTTTTTTATTTTTAAGATATCAGGACAAATTAAAAATACCCCCGCCGCAGCAAACCTGCAGACTAAGCGAATTTCCATTTGACTGATTGGATTTACACTGAAATGTCTACTTAAAAATATAACATTTAACTTATTCTTGATTTAAATAGAATTAGTTTAACAAGTACTTAGGTTTGCTGCATCAGGGAGGGTAAAACTGTTTTTTTTTTTTGTAAAATGTGAATAGTTAGTAAGAAATAAAAACATTTTCCAAATTTGATCAAAATATGTTCACAAACAAGCAAACTACAACAGTTTACTTATTCTCCATAAGAATAACATGGGAATTTTAAATTTACAATTTTTTGGAATTTTCTCCGTAACCATTAGGCGCATAATAACGCTTCAATATACTAAATTATTTGTTTTTTTAAGCTCTACAAAATGGTTTGGAAAGAAATTGCTAAATTTTATGTTTTTTGGGTCAAAAATGGGAAAAACCTATTTTTACCCCATAAAACCCCCCGTAAACCCCCGTTCCCATGGTCCGATCATGCTGGATCGCGAACTCGTTCGAATAAACGTACGTTTACACGTTTGTACCAAATTTCATCAAAATCGTTTCATTTTTGCTCGAGTTATCGTGCCGACGGACACACATATATATATATATATATATATATATAAATATATATATATATATATATGAATTTGAACGGATGGTGTCTTTGGCCTCTAGGGACCTCAAAACGAAAAAAAAAATTGGTCCCGCGTCCAGGTCTTACCATGAGTACTACGGTAATAGCTTATTCCCTATATGGGAAATTCGCTAACAAAATATTCAGCAAGAAATGGGCTTAAAATTGATATAGGAATAAATGACATAAATATGTTGTCTAGCATGTAAAATGACAACGTAAAAAAAAAGATTTCAGCAGTGAAAATGTTATTTTCCCTGCAATATTTTCATAAGAAAAAGTAATTAAGTACTCACCTTTAATATTTTTTGTATTTTAAAGTTGGCATATGAGACAGTCTAAATCTCAAGTTTGGGTTATGAAAGTCTAATCCTTTTTTCTTTATATGTCCATAAATATGGTGGATTATCCGATTTCCGCCATTTTCGAGATCTTATATCATAAAAGGGACTGAACCAAAACCAATCAAATTTCTGTCATAAGTACTTGTAGTTGTTGTAATTATGATGTATAAGTTTGATCAAAGAGACTCAACTAGTTTAGAAGATATGCAACATCAAAGTTGGACACAAGTAGCGTTAGAACAAGTAGTGGACTAAGCTAATCTAATATATAAAATTCTCGTGTCACAGTGTTTGTCTGCAAACTCCTCCGGAACGACTTCACCGATCGTTATGAAATTTGGTGTGTAAATTCTGTAGGTATGCGAATCGGACGTAAACTATTTCCCGTTTCGAAATTCTTAAAAGGGCTCCGCCCCAGTGGCTCTGGAGTTTCCCACGTTAACCTTAAATGAGAAATGGAATTAATGAATCTTAACAGCTGTTTCAATTAAACAAGTTGGTTCTGTTCTATGATGTTCAATAGCATTAAAGTTACAAGGATTACCAACAGGGTGCAGCACTATTATTTCTTTTACATTTATGACAACAGCTAATTTGCAACCAAAAGGTGAGTGAGCGTAGCGAACGAACTTCAACCTGGAGGCGAGTTAGCGTAGCGAACGAGCTAACCTGAAGGCAAGTGAGCGCAGCGAACGAGCTCCAACCTAAAGGTGAGTGAGCGTAGCGAACGAGCTCCAACCCAAAGGTGAGTGAGCGTAGCGAACGAACTTCAACCAGGACGTGATTGAGCAATGCGAACGAGATCATCTTGAAAATTAAACGTAACGGTACTTTCTTTCCATCGGTCTGTCTTAGGGGAAACCTATAACTTAGGCGATACGAAGTTCGCCGGGTCAGCTAGTCCTTATATATAATTCTGTAAGACAAAATTTTAACCAGAAAATTGTGGACGTCTGGTAGGTCGCAGAAAAGTGGGAGATGTCTTAAATTAAAGGTCTTGACCCCAGAGACTCGGGAAAAATAGCAGAATACCCGTAAAGTTACCATAAAACGAGATATAACGTAAAATGTTCTCCATAAGAAAAGCATTAGAAGCCATTTACTGCTGATTTTTGTTTACTTCAATACAGCTGATCGTGATTTATCATCAAGCCAGTATAAGCAACGATAACATTAATTTGGATTACTTATTTGCCAGTCAATTCTGCAACGTACTATACAGGGTGTCCCGGAACTCTCTACCAATATTTTAGGGCATTGCTCCTGGGTAAGAAACATACCTAAATATCATATTTAAATTGTCCGGAAGTCCTTAGTTACTCACACAGCCGCCATTTTGTTTTTTTAGTTATTATTTTTTTTTTTCTAAAGAATGGTTAAACATACGAAATGGAAACTTTGCACAAACATTTATGACATCTAGACAAAGCTACAAAAAAATTATGAAGATTTTTCAAACTTATAAAACAAAATGGCGACCATTTAAAATTTTGTTTCTTAAATAGGCCTAACTCAAAAACCGTTGATTTTATAAAAAATTTAAATAACCGCCATTTTGTTTTATGAGTTTGAAAAATCTTCATAATTTTTTGGTAGCTTTGTCTGGTTGTCATAAAGGTTTGTGCAAAGTTTCCATTTCGTATGTTTAACAATTCTTTAGGAAAAAAAATAATAACTGAAAAAAACAAAATGGCGGCTGTGTGAGTAACTAAGGACTTCCGGACAATTTAAATATGATATTTAGGTATGTTTCTTACCCAGGAGCAATGCCCTAAAATATTGGTAGAGAGTTCCGGGACACCCTGTATAAAACCAGGTAGCCTATTACGTTACCTGTAAAAATTAAGACTTTTTAGTTACGTTATGGAATGGGGAAATTAATAATTTTACTGTGAAACTTTTCAAATTTGTATATTTTTAACGTTTAACATTAAATAACCACATTGACTAAATAATTAACGATTCATGATTAAATGGAACACTTCTGCTTTGTTTTTATTCCAAAACATATGTTCTAGATTTATTCTACACTTTCTTTCTTTTAAATTTGAGATTTATTGTAGTGTTTAATCAATACTTTGTATGAAGTGGAATAACCTCAATGGCTTTAGAAAATAACCTGGAAATAAAGATAGAATAGGTTCGTACAGGAAATATATATTTGTTAATTAAGTAAGTACTATGACAAGTTCGAATGGGAGGAAAAACAATATGCTTGGAGATTTTAAACAGGTACTGTCTGTTGCTTGCAATAGAGTTAAGAATCAGCCAATGATTAGGCCTAATTTGATAGAATATGTAACGTCAAGCGCACCTTTAAGAGGAATACCACCACATAAACTTTCACTAATAATTGTAGTTTTTTTATGTCGATCAGAAGAAATCTAGGGTTAAGTTTGGTCAATGGGATGCCTTTACTTTACACTAATAAACCCTAACAAAAGAAGTATAAACTTAGAATTTTTAACTGGGTAGGGATGCTAATTTAGCGGGTTTGGCAAAAAACTAAGCTTACCTCAAAACACCTTTATTTGCCTTTTCTTATTTGACGAAGACAATTTCCAAAGTTCCAATCAGGGAGTTCTTTTTTATCACAATCAACCACAAGACCAAAG